ATAAATTTCATTATTTTTATAATTATAAGTAGTTATCACATCTAATCAGTAACATATAAGATTAATGGGATCCACATTACGTATTTATTGTTTTCTAATTAAATGATGATATCATGTGACGATGATAATATAATGTCACCGTTGCAATGAATATTTTCACCTCATTTGGGGTAAGTCTCATCAATTGCATAAAGAATATTTTCCTTTTAAAAAAAAAATTGAAAGTAGATTAGATTCATCGATTTGTCTATATATATGTATTAGTTATCGAAAAAATTTTAATTTTTTATTTTATCGTTAATTATTATAATAAAGTCAATTATACCTATTTATATATTTTCATTTATTTTTTATTGTTTACATATATCTGAATTTTAACTTGTTTTAGACAATTTTATAAAGATTTTAAAATTCTTTTAAACTCATTTATTAGTAGTACAATTATATACAATTATCTATATATTTATATGAAAAAGTAAAATCTTATATATGTTAAATTATTATAATATGTAATTACCATGTTGAATTCTACAGTCAAATATATAATATATTTTATTTTTTGAGATGTAATAATATAATCTATTTAACAAATAAAAATTAATAACTTTATAATTAAAAGGATCGAAGAGATATCTAAATAAAAGACTGATTAATTACTCAAAAATTTATAGAATAAATTAATAATTAAATTAAAATATGAATTAATTATTCGACACCTAAATTATTATTTAATTTAATTGCACATATAATTCATGTTTTCTATAAAAATAATAGTAAATAAATTTATTTACATAAAACACACGATGTATATTACTAATATATACAAAAATTTAAAAGCATAACTCCGACTTTGATACCGTAACCTTTCCCGAACCCAAAGAAGGGGAGAAAGCCAGTGTTTGGTCGTGGTGGATTTAAGTTCACACATCAAGATAAAAGAATAACAATAATGCTATACACAACACTTTTTTACACCATCTTTATACATCACTTTAATATAAATCATCAAATTAGTGAATTACGTTAAATTCATTAAATATTTAAAATTTGAAATTATGTCATATCAGATATTACACAAAGATGGTAGATGATGCACAAAGATAGTAGACATTTCATGATTAAAAGAATAAGCCCAGAAAAAAGAAAGAAACTCAAAGTCACACGGCAACAACATATCAGCCAAGCCAACCATGGAGGGACCGACAATGATTGATCCAAAAGTTTTGTAAAATACTCAGCCATCAGTGTTATTATACATGCATGGCAATGCAATCTCAAATAAGCATCTTCGTATGGGTGCCCAATTACGGACTGAGTGTCGATATTCGTGCCACGAGAGAATTTTTTTTAGTTCAATGATCTTGTATTCGAATCTGTTTAAGCTACAATTAATTCCTTTTTCGGTCCATTTAAAAATAAGTTATCCACGTTGAAATTAAAATATTCATGAGAAATTTATCCTTCTTGACCTGACCTTAAAAGACTACCAAGATTCAAATTCTGAACGTTCAAATTTACATTTTATATTTGTTATCACTTAAATTATATTTAAAATTGTGAAAATTAGAGTTGAGTCATCTTTGATGGACTTGTAAGTTATAATAGTTTAAGTCCGTCAAAAAAATTTATTTGATGATAAGTCCGTTTTTTATCTTACTAATAAGTAATTAAGTATATTATTTTTTTAAATCCCAAAAATATTCTTAAGAGTGTTATTTTGTTCAATTATAGAAAACCTTAAAAACGTTGAAAGCAGTTTTAAATTAATTTATTAAATTAAAAATTATTATCCCTTAATTCAATCTTAAATTGAAATTGAAATTTATATTATCCCCCCCCCCTCTCTTTCTCTCTCGTTACAAGAAGATCGTCATTCTAGTGCAACAAATCTTTCTTTTTAGATATCATTTCTTCCTTCATAACATCAAAATCAGTAGGGTTTAAAACATACTCAATAACCACCATATCTTCTACTGCATTTTGGTCATCATAAACTTCTATGTCTTTGATTTTTGGAAAAAAAAAAAAAAAGGTTGAAAAACTTACTCAATGTGTTATTATTTTGATCCCCAATTTTTTTAATAAATAATCCCTAAAATTTTTCAATATTTCATGTTATTATATTTTTTCTTATTTACCATGTTACTAATTTTTTTTATGTTGCTATTTTTTATTGAGCATATTATTATTTTTCAGGATTACTTTTTTGTATGCTAAAGATTTGGAAGTTTCTTTCTCTATTTATGAGTTTGAATACTACTATTTTTATTTTTAATTTTGTTCAATGTTCTATATTGCTATTTTTTTTTGAGCATATTATTATTTTTGTTGAACATATTACTATTTTTGTTGAGTACGTTACTATTGTTATTTTTTAAAAATANTTGAGCATGTTATTATTTTTGTTGAATATGTTTTTTTTTATTGAGTACGTTACTATTGTTATTTTTTAAAAATATTAATATAGAATGTTTCTATCTTTTTATGTTTAAATGTTACTATTTTTTTATGTTTAAATGATATTATTTTTTGTGTTTAAATAATATTTTTTAATTTGAATGTTACTAATTTTTATTTTTAATATTATTATATCTATATAATAAAGTAGAGTTGAGTTTGAATCTAGAGACAAAGAGAGGTTTAGATCGTTTTGAAAAAAAACAAGAACACATCCAACAGACAACAGATAACGTAATCCCAGAATAAAAGACGGTTCAGATCATCTCATAAATATTGATCTGACGATCATAATTAGACTTAACTCTAACACTCCTATCTCTCATATAACTCTCTCTTCTCTCTCTCTTATCTTTTAGACGTTTTAAACACACTATCTCATCTCCTCTTTCTTTCTGTCTCTGTCTCTCTCTCTCCCTTTCTCTCTTTGTATATATATATTATATAAAATAAAGTAGATAGATTTCTTTATCTTTAGCTTTCACGGCTTAGATCTCTTGATGATTTTAATCCAAGGGTCCTCATGCCAAAATTTTTTAAGAGTCTTATCTCTTATTTAACTCTCTTTCTCTTTCTATCTCATCTATACTAATAAGATAAAGGTGATTTTAAACTTCTCAAATTAAAAATCAATCTTCTCAATTAATTAAGAATTTTAATTAATAATTAGTGGATTTTAATTAATGATTTTTTTTGTATTATAAAGTACCTTTAGGCATGACAACTAACCAGGAGGCACAAAATATACTAGCAACCTACCCAATTTATTGTAGAAATTTTTGAGATCAATGATTGGACCATGCAAGCTAGAAATAATTTTTCTTGGATAAAGGAACAGATTACTCGATCCATTTCCGTATCGCTCATGATATATATAATAACTCGGACATCCATTTCAAGTGCATATCCCATTTTTGCACAGCAAGGTTATGAAAATCCACGAGAAGCGACTGGGCGTATTGTATGTGCAAATTGTCATTTAGCTAATAAGCCCGTCGATATTGAGGTTCCACAAGCGGTACTTCCTGATACTGTATTTGAAGCAGTTGTTCGAANACAGGTTATTTGGCTTCTAAGGGATGAGTAAATGTATTTAATTATTGATATTAGTCTCAGTTTAGTGTTAGTTTAGTTTATGATTTGTATCCATTTTGTATTAGATGATTTGGATTATTAAATTACTGCAGTTGATAAACAATGGTAATAATGATATTAACGTGATGTGACAAAATTATTGATTTAAGGTAATGTTTATTTATAGAAAGGTTTGATTATGAGTTGTACACAAAGGTTGATATTGTCAATTGAATTATGTTTTCAAAGAAAACTCTATCGAATTTATTTTAAAGATAAAAGTTGGTTTATATTGACTACTGAGATTTTATGTGTTAAACCAATTATTTTGGTTTGATATTAACGTATATAGTCATAATTATATGTAATATATTGTTGGTAGTAGTACTGTTGAACAGTTAGTTTTATGTGTTACATTAATTATTTTGATTTTGTATGCCTTTTAATTAATCACAATTTTTTTTTGTTATTCTGTGTCTTCAGACACGGACAATTACTAGTATATGTATATGAAAGAGATATAGTTCTAACCTATGTATGGATATAAATAAATATAAGACAATTTTTTTTTTAATGTTAGTCAAACTCTTAAAAATTAAAATTTTTTAATTTTACTTCAATTCTAAAAAGAATGAATAGTCTAACAAAATTGACAAAAAATAAACTTCAAAAAAAATAAATTTCCTTGATAAATTTTAGTCCAAATAAGTGACTGACCGCCACATTTCTCTTTAAAATTTGCCACCAAGAGAAACCGAGTTTGAAATTCTTGGTGGCCGAGGCAACTAGATATACATTGTAATAGCTGCCAAATATTATTACCCGTGTTTAAGTCATGACAATCACATCAAAACAAGATACGTATGTGACTGGCTAGGTCAAAATTACATTCTTGTAGTGTAGCCANATCAAAACAAGATACGTATGTGACTGGCTAGGTCAAAATTACATTCTTGTAGTGTAGCCACACACACACACACACAACTACTACGAATTATCCAAAAAAATAAAAAAAATGCANATGCACATAAGTTTTAAAAAACAGGATTTGAAAAAATGAAAAAAATTATTTAAATTCTATATGATGAGTACCCGTGGTCTAGATAAAAATTGATGATTACTGACTATTATAATGTTTTAGTCAAAAATATTCAAACTAGATAACTAAACATAACATTCAATTTTCATAAAGTACTACATTTTTTATGAATAATATATCATTATCACTGTATTTGTAATAATAATTATATATATAACGATAGTGTGTCCCTAACATGCCCATGTCCTACCCTTTTTGAAGAAATGACGTGTCTGCTTGGTCATATTTGTGTTGTGTCTGCGTGTCCTTATTCGTGTCCATGTTCGTGCCCGTGCTTTGTAGTGACCCACACAAACAGTCCAAATTCATCCATCAGGGCAAGAAGACCAGAAGGAAAAACACTTCCATACATCAATAGAAAGTAGTGAATTCATGGGTGTGGAATTGAAAGAAAAATAATGCCTACATCAATCAATTTTCCAGGTGCTCTCAAAGCTCTCTGAGCGGACTGCATATCTTTGTAAGTGATGAATCCATAGCCACGTGATTTTCCTGATGCTTTGTCAGTGATCACAGCTCCTTCTTCGATTTCACCATGCACTTCAAATGCCTGAATGAAAACATATCCTTAGAGAGGTTGAATTGTGATGGCTGAGATTCATCTCATGTAGGACATCACTGACACAACACAAAATACAATCAGCAGTCAGCAATGCACTTACAGCATACAAAGCTTCTGAAGTGGTATTCCAAGCTAAGCCGCGGACAAAAAGCTTTCGGTGGGCTGGATCTGCGCTTGCAACATTTTTAATTTCTTCAGCAATAGAAGGATATTGAGACCCCCTTCACGCCACAACATGCAACAAGCACACATGCACAGTGTCAATTCACACAACACACGATCAGGAGGAACTTTGTATGCCCCCCACTTGGCCCAAGCACAACAGTCTCACAAGCAACACGAACTAGCATACAGACATGCAAGAACATATACACGAAAATGGGCATGCACAAATACATACACATGAAAACATGCAAACACAAGCAAATGGACCTCAGACACATGCACATGCATTGACACACGCGCGGGTGTCAGTAGAATATTTTAAGGCACATGGAGTGTTTAAAATGCTCGAGGCTGATGCCTTTAACATGTGGCTATGGAAAGAAAGCTTAGACCTTTAGAAAGTCAAGCCCATATACTGCTAGTGCATGTCTTAGACATCTCATGCTTTTGAGCTTGCCTCATCCGAAATGAAGATTCTCTAGAAAAATCTACCAGAAAATGCTAATATTCTAGCAATTTTTCTTTGGAATACACATTTCAAATTGTGGTATATCATTTTAACAATGCCATCTGTAATAATAAAAAAATTGTTCCAAATTCTTCCTTTAATACTCTTTTTCATAAGTTGAAACATTGAAAATCATTCTTTTAGTAACATACACCTAATCACGTGGCAATATAAGCACACGTCTAATTCAATCTTAACAAATAAAAGAGAAAAAAATGTGGACTAAAATCTAATTATGGTTAGAAACTATGAAAGTGAAATTGTGATGTAAATCCCAGCTAGCTCAAGGTATTTTGTACCCATGACAAGCAAAACCTCCTAGTCCCTCAACCACCGGTGCACGCGTGGGCTCCCCATTTAGGTAGCTTCCCGAATTTCCTGCAGTATGCAAGACTCAGATGTTGTTTCAGTCGTTGTCCCTTTTTAATGCATCTTCAGCTCATGTGACAAGCCAAGGCCCCAAAAAGGTCACTAATGAAATACCGGCTCGAGGAAACCTTTGTATGCCTCCGTTATCTTTTGGGAGGCCCACGCCCCATAGAAATTGTCCACCTGAGACTGTCTCTTGGCCCGTAGGTCTTGACATAAGGTAAGAATTCTAACTCTTCCAAAGTGGGATCTCAGGCCCCCCGAAAGAAGGCCTTCTTCTATGATTCAATTCAAAATTTTGTTCGTTCAAGTTTGATTGCGTCATAATTCTATAATTCGGAGTAGGTTTATCATTGGATGAACTGCATTACTGATATTGATCCCAAAAAAGAAACGGTAGGTACAGTTAGGCTGTGAAAAACCAACCATTGCACCGTAAAAATTGGATAGGTTCGATCTATGGTCATTGGAGCCTCCTAAAAAGACAATTTATTAACTCAACCTCATTTTGTTTATTCCAAGAATTTAGGATCAATATTGCATCAACGGAATGTATATAGTCTGCACTTACATAGCAATACTTCGCTCATTGTTTGTTGGAACAACAAATGTAAACAATTACCGGAACCTAATGCAACATATAATGCTAGAATTTCCTCCTTGGCCAATTTCTACAATAATCTTAACTTTTCTTTTTCTCAAAAGCAATATGTATCATATTTACGACAAAATTCTGCAAGGCGCAAAAGTGATGTGAAAAGTTAAGACCTCCCAACTTTTAAGTAAAAGATTGAATAAGTGAATAGAGTACAACTGTAAAAGATAGAATCTTTAAGGCAGACATAGCATAATGTATGTTTTTCACTAATGAGCACCAAGGGATCATAATGTGAATGCTAATTTCCCAGAATTGTGTTTCCTCCTTGTTTGTCACCTGAAGAAATTTCACCATCTAAGTGACACATATCAGAGGTTTTGCTGCCAAGGCAAAGCTATTCTTGGCATGGTATCGCTGGACCACCCTTTTAAAAAGTTATATATGTTAAACAGTAGTCAGAGACATTTTGTGTGCCCATACTCCATCACTTTTGTAAAGACTCATACCTAAATGTCTATTATTGTTTCGGACTTGCCCAAATAAGATTTGGATATCTTAGGGGTAATTTTGTGATTCATTCAGAAAATTAGGGAATCCATTTGATAGTGTATAGATATTAGGTTTATGGTGTAGTATATATAAAGGTCATTTTTTAAGTATATAACATAAAATGAAAAATCCTTTGGGCCTAAAAAACACGATATATATCTACGTGAAAATAAATTATTCTCACAAAAAAAAAAAATCGATCAAGGGACCAAAAGAGTTAAGAGAGATTCAGAGAGAGAGAGAGAGAAAGACACGACAGGCAATTGTGCAACCCTTCGGCGAGTTGTGGTTGCACTTTTTTGAGGTTGAGTTGGTTCAATAAACTATGCTCTTGTAGTCATGATTTTTTTCCCTTGTTGAACTTGTTTCTTGCTTCAATAGTGTTTGTGTGAGCATATGAGCTCTGAATGGCATGTAATTGCATGTTTAGTGCTTATATTGGTGCATTAGGTCTTTCAGAGATTGACCTTGATTTGCATATTTATAGTTTTTCTTTGGTTTTGTACTCTTAATGTGCATGTGATATTAGTTGCAATTGATTTGCAGTTAACCTACAATTCAGATTTATGTAAATAAATTTAGATGTGCACTATTACTGTAGTTAAAGGGTCCACCAGAAATAAATTCCTGACTACGCCCATTGCCGCTAAATGTTCCAAGAAAGAACCTAAAAGGCCATGTTGCCCTGGGCATAAACTTACTTGGCTATGCACTAATTTTTATCAGAAGTTACAAAACAACAAAATTCAGAAACCAAGGATTCAAAATCAGTCTAAAATCTTCAAGGTTTGTGTATTCAATTCTGTCAAACTAGTGTTGAACAAAGTTGCTCAGAGGCAATCCATACAAAGCCCTAATGAAACAAGCAAGAATTCAAACCCCCCCCCCCCCCAAAAATCTGTTCAAGACTAAGGGTGTGTTTGTTAACTCAAATTCAGCACTTAAATTGAATGTATTCAGCACTTATTAATTAAGCTCGTTTGATAACCAAAATTTAAAATCTCTTAATATGTTAAATGCTCATTCAAAATAGGCTACAATATTAAATAGGAGATCCCTTACTTAATTTTGAAAGTCGAAAGCGCTCAGCAAAATTATTTTTAATAATATTTACAATATGACAATTATACCGTAAAATATTTTACAATCATATTAAAACTCTAATTAGTCTTCTCTTCAAAACCCCTAACTTATATATTCTCCTTATCGATCTCTTTTTTAACAAAAATATACACAATTACACACATACATATGCACTGCACACACACACGGCGCACACCCATATTGTTAATGAAATCTAATTTATTATATTTTTTCAATATTATTTAATTATTTATTAGTCATTGTTCTTTTTTTTATCAGATATTATTGTTCAATTATTATGTTATTCAATTTATTATTATTCACTTATTGTGTTATTCAGATGATATTTATTTAATTATTTTGATCAAACATTTGTTAAATATAGACTATAATATAATAATAGTGATTATGATTTATATTATGACATATTTTATAAATATTTTCAAATTAAAGAGTGGAAGGGTAAAAATAAAAATTAATTTATTTTCAGACGTCAACTCTGTTTAGTTATCAAATAGTTTAGTTCAATTCAGTATTTAAATTTAAGTGAATATCAAACAGTCCATAAATTCAACATTCAGACTTCAGTTTTATCAAACACCACCTAAATTGGAATCTGAACTAAGGATCAAATTTTGTTTCGGTGCATAGTTTTAGTGTGTGTCAAAACAAAAATGTTTCGCTAATGTTTCAAGAAACAAGACGGAAATAAAAAAAATTAAAAATTTAATTCCGAATTTGAGGTCAAAACACACCAAAAAGACATAAGAGTTTTGATATTCAATGATTCATTTCAATTCCAAAACGGATTTTAGATATTTTGACGGTTTCGAAACGAAATTTAACTCCTCGATCTGAACTTCTTTTTAAATATTGAGTATTAACTGTTCGACTCAATTACTGAGAGAGAATTTGTGTATCTTCCAAAACCTATCCAGAAATGTGTCAATTACAGACACACATCAAAAGTTCGATGCAAACCCAGAAATCTGTTATGATAATATAATTGAAAACGAGATTTGAAACTTGAAACATACAGCTTAGCAAGGAGATCCACCAATTGGGCTTTAGCAAGTGGGTCCAGTAGCGAACGCAACTGTTCTACATCCTCTGAAGGACTCGCATGTAATTGACCGTTGCCTGTTTCTTCAAGCTTCCTCTTCTTTAGGTCCTCCATCCTCTCTCTCTCTCTCTCTCTCTCTGCGCGGCTTTTTTTTAGGGCAAGTATGTGTGCTTCTTTAGCCCTGTTGAGCATTAGGAACGAAACCATTAGGAAATATTTTTAAAATATAATGAAAACGAATTAAAAATTTAAGAATTATTTTTAAGATATTCTAAAATATTGGTCAAAATATATTGATTTCTTTTTTTAACGTCGAGGGATATTCGAATCAATTTACGCGTATTTTAAATAATCTTTTTCTCGATCTGGTTAAAAAAGGTTATAATATTAGTAGAAACATGTCTAAATAGCTCTACTCGTTCCGACCCACTTCAAAATATTAAAATTTTAAATTTAATAACTGATTCGTTTTTGTCACTTTTGAAAACATAAACGTTTTGACCGTTTTGAAACAAAATGTTAATCCCAGATATTATGGTACTATAAAGTATTTTTAAGCATGATATTTAAAAAATATAGTATAATAATAAATTTTATTTAACCTTGTTGATCTTAAAAAAATTAAAATAAAACAAAATTAAAAAATATGTGTGTCTTTCGTTCAAAAGCCTGTGCTCATACTACCCCAGTTTTTTTTTTTTACCGATCTTCCTGAAATAGTTTTTCTTGTTTTCTCGAGTCTATTGGTATAAAAAAAAAATATAGTTTTTTGATGCTCTAGGTGGACAAGTGTCCCATAGGCTGAGGACCAGTTAATCCTCTTAAAAATGCCAATGGGTGTCTTTTTGGTCATTGAAGGAGGCTTGTAAACAAGTCTATAAATGGTTATTCAAGGTTTGCTAAAAAAAATAATGATAATCTCCTAATGATGTTTAAGCTTTTATTCATTTAATCTTAAATTTGTTTGTAATGAAACGAATCACGAGCTAAACCCTGAGCAACTCAAAATCTTTTGTGCCACGTAACTTGATTCTAATTACTCAAACGTTGTTCGTTTATTACTACAATCTCATTCATTTTTATTTTCGAAACTTTAAAGAATAACTAAAAGGAAGGATAACGATTAGTTATTCGTCAAAAAAACAGTGTCTTGGGGCAAAGTGTTATCCTTTGATATTATTGAAGGGAATGAGCTCTTGCAATAGGCTCATGCACAACTGTTAAAACATATATGTGAGAAAAGATAAAAATCCAAGTTGCTATGGCAGCTATCTTATTTTGAACAGAACTTGCTTGTCTTCAAGACTAATCCACCGAGCATCATGCAACTAGGTATTCCAATTAAAAGTTTGACAGAGGCTACAATGTTGTTTTGCTTTGCTGTTCGAACATCATTTTCAGTTGCCTGCTCTGTTCTTCGATCCTCAACTATATGTTTCGCTGAAGCTGACCCAAAAAAAACAAAATCAGGAGCGCGAAATCTGCAGTTTTAGTACTTATATTGAACAGAAACAGAAGCATGGCATTAGCAAGACTTCCTATAGTTGGTAAAGTTGAGCATTACTTATTATTTCATTAGCAAAATACATTTTATGATCCATTGAATACGATGACAAAAGTATTTGTATCGGGGGAATTAGAAACATCGGTTAGTGGCTGTGGTCATTTAGCTCAAACTAGTAAAATAAACACGATTTTTGGCTTTCCTATTTGTCAAGATGATGGATGTGTGCTTTGTTTCTTTTGAGTTGCACTGAAACTATTAAGAAGTACCTGAAGGGAGAGTTAAACTTAAATCAATACCTCTAACTGCTCACGAAGACGTCTCTGGACATCTAGCTGTAGTCGCAGTGCCTCCTTAATTTGCAAGCCACTGCCCGAAAAGTTGAAAGTATGTCTGAGATGAAGTTTTTGAGTGAGAAAGTTATGATATAGGATTAAGATTAAATGATCAATGCCGATTTAGTAGGTTGAAAAAATGGACTCGGATTTAGATTATGTGATCAATGCTAAAAAAAGAAACTGGATCACAAAGCTTACGTGTTAAGGTCGATCAGTGCTAAATTATTCTGACAAGCCCTTTTCTCAGATTTTCCTGCAATTTTCCATGTTTCATGTCAATCAATTTTAGGCGAGGAGCTTGATCATCTCCTCAAAAACAATCCATGAGATCAAGAAATTTGTGCAATGAAGTCAAACATGCTTACTATCGGCAATTGTTACTAGGAAGGGAAGTGATGTGTGCTTGCATAGCAGTAATTTTTTATGACCATATTGGGTTATTAAGCTTCTCCCCAATGGAACACAACGGGCAAAACTAGCTTATACCAGGGAAAAACTATCTCAGTATAGAATGGCACTAAGATTTCTGATATATAGAGCTGATAAATGAATCAGTTGCCAACAAGAAAATAACAATAGAACTCTGAAAAAAAATGTTTGAAAAAGGGTAAAATATAACTGCCTAAAGAATTAAATGATACATAAGCATATGCACTTGAGGCAGGTAGAGCTTTTATGCATGGACAGGAAATAGATACTCCTTAAGTTGATCAATCATGAAAACTTAGTAAGTTATTTCTTCAAAGATCCAGAAATTAAAATATACGGACATCACTGAAAATGAAAACGTCAGTAATATCTATGATAGATGATGCCACAGAGGAAGATGGTTCAAATCCTTAAATGGCCTAGTTCAAGCACTGAGCATGTAGTATAGCAATAGTTCCTCAATAATCGTCAAAGATATTTAACAAGATTACCTTCTTTAAATTCGGCCATGTACTTTTCTGTTCGATATTTCTACCAAGCAAATGGATGACAAAAGGGCAAAAACTGATTCAGATTTCTATAAAGAAAAAATACCAAGCAAAGGTCAAATCCAAAAGTTCCTTAAGCCACCAATGTTACCTGCAAATGGCTTTTGACATGAAAGATTGTCAATCCCTCTGAGTTCATCAGCTTCAGTATTGCTTTTGGTGTTGCCTCTAAAGTGATAACAAAAAAAAATCAGTTAAGCAAGGTTTTTTTTTCCCATTGAACAGAGAAAAAATTGAATTGAATTACTTAACTGTCAGCACCACCAAGACAATTTACACACTCAACAAACCGATCATGAAGTTCTTGAGTCCATCTAATTCGTCTTTTACTTGAAAAAACTGTTCCAGAAGTAATCATAACAGTTCCATAAGGTGCTGCAGATTGCCCGAAATGAGCAAGTTGAGAACCATACAGGTTGGGCGAGTCCTGTAGAAGAACAATTAGGCATCCTCAGAATAATTTCGGGCATGTGAAACAATACCAAGCAAGACAGCAACAAAAATAGAAGCTGTTTTCTGAATTGTACAATGCTCACACTGTAATTCTGATCTATGTGAACTGAAGTATCAAAATCATCCAGCAATTTACGTTTCAGATGCGCAATATGTTCTTTCTCTGGAAGATTGCTACATGGAAGTTTACCAGACTTTTCAGGACTATGGTATTGATTAATAAAAACTTGAGACTTCGCAGAAAATCGCGGGACACTTTTGCAGAGAAAGTTTGGTTCAGCTTTCTCTGGTGGATCGGTATACAAGCCATCTTCAGATTGCTGACATGGTGGGATTTGAAGATCATAACTTTTCAATTTCTGGGGGCAATCAGAGGGATTACCAGCTTGGTACTCATATTGGGGAAACCCCATGTGGCATTCGGTTGCATAAAAAGCAGAAGCTGGTGATCCAATACGACTCATAATCGTGCTCGATGAATTAGCATGCCAGAATTTTTGTTTCTCTGAGCCTTGCTCCATAGTTGGTGACTGAAAGCAAAGTCCTAGGTGACCAGGAAGTTGAGAAAATTGGGAAGAATGGCTATTATTCTCTGAAGTATGATCATTTCTAGGAGAAACATGCTTTCTTTCTTGGAAACTGATCTTCTGAGTGTTCATTTTAAATAAAAAAAAATGATCAACACTGCAGTTCAAGTATGCAACAAAAACAGCAACAAAGTTGGACTGTTCGATTTTCTCAATTAATAGCAACTAAAACTAAGCATAAAAGTCTATCATCTTTTTTAATGAATAACCGAAAAGTATGAACTGCGCGAAGTAAACTCCAAATCACTAAAAAAAAAGGGGGAAGAAGCAGATTACATGGATAACCAACACAGCAACATTGAATTCATGTGGCTGACCCAAAATTCTTTCTTATATGCTACAAGACTTGAAATGGAAGATTTCATGGATATGGTCAACAAATCCTATGCAGGCAAGTCTTTTAGTTATTCCTTGCATGGATAGGTATTAACAATGACATTTTGACAAATCCAAGGCCCAAAGCATTTAGAAAAATACAACCTTCTGACAGGTAAACTATTTTTTAATAGGGTTTTTCCATTCCATCAAGATAAATATGGATACCTCCTATGTGTACACAATCCTCTCCTAAAAACCCCTGCCCCTTCCTCACCCAAAAAGACAGCCGACAAAAAGTAAGGCCCTTTTTGGTTTGTATCTCAAAAACTGTTGTTATTTTGTTGTTTTTTCAGCTATTTTTTATTTTTATTTTTTGAAAACTGACATGGGTGGGTAGATTTAGAGAACAAGTGAGAACCATTTTATGTGTTTTTGGAAATAACCATTCTAGAATTTAGAAAACACCACCACCACCATTATACCTCTACCATCACATTTCTGTTTCATTCTTTTCTGGGTTATTGTCGCAACAAGTTTTACTATTTTCTATTATTTTTTTTAGAATCATATAACTAATCAAGTTATGCGAAATAAAAAACACAAAAACAGTTTTCTAAAATTCTTCCCAAAAATAGTTTTTGAATACTATTTTTTGAGACACAAACTAAACAAGCTTACATTCTGCGATAATGTGAAACTCAAACCAATAATTTAATGTGCAATGTAGATAATAGATAGTCGATGGGACAATGTGAAACGGAGGGCACAGTGTGGGGAGTCTAAATGTAGTTTACCCAAGTAAGAAATTAGAAGAATAATATTCAGATGACAAAGGATATGGGTTTTTTATATTATGATTCCTAAAGTTTTATTTTCCATCATCAGATAATTGGAGAATATGATTATGGGCATCTGTATCTTAATAATTTCATGTGGGATACTGGCATATATTCACAATTCCAACTGATGTTTAATTTATTAGCATTACAGATGGGAAAAAACAACTTAGTAGCATAATTAATTTAGATTAAATAGAAGTGCCTTTTCTATAACTGTCAACTTTCTTACCCACTGGTTGCCCCTAGGAAAGTGATGAGTATCTGAAAAAAAATACAAGAAAAAATGCCTATGAGAATTTATCTGAAAATAAAGAAGATTTGAAAACTTTAGAATTTGAAAAAAGTGTTTGAATAGAGAAGACTGATTTCACTTTCAAACACGCAGAAAATCAGGTCCTGTTTAGTTTGAATCTTAAAAACTGTGTTTCTATTTTTAGAAATAATTTATGGGAGAAAAACTGTTTGACTAGCTATTTTTTGAAAATTGAGAGCAAAAAATAGGTAGGTTTAAAGAATAAGTTAGGATTGATTTGTATGCATGTGGAAACAACATTTCTAGAATTTAAAAAACACTACCACCACCACCACTACAACACTCTCATTACCACCACATTTCTGTTTTTATTATTTTTTAGATTATTGTCCAAACAAGTTTTATTATTTTCTATTCCGTAAAACTGTTTTTAAGATTATATAACCAAACAAATTTTGCGATACAAAAAATATTAAAACACAGTTTTTTAAAACTCTTTCTAACAACAGTTTTGGGATACTATTTTTTAAGACGCAAACCAAACATGAAATTTCTCATAATATTGTGGGTGGTTTAAGACATAAAATATGTGTTCATACTGTTCCGCAATGTAATAGAACCAGAATAAAAAACTTGCTATATTTTATAACAAGTAACTCATCTTAACCCAACAAACATTCCCTCGGCCTCTTGGAGTTGGTCTACCATTTAATCCACTTACCGAATTCAAGTTGATCATATATCGCCTCCTTCTCATAAGAATACAATCAAACAATTCTCAATCATGTTCTTACGGATCGGATCATGCATATAATATTGATGAGACACTTTAGAAAGGTGTTAGATCAACGACGCTTGTCCTCGATCCCGAGAGATTTTCTTGTCTCTGTCGAGGGAACACGTGTCCTCGGCCCCAAGACCCCTTTCCTGACTGATATGTTCCTCGGCTATAAGGCTTGTTCCCTCGGCTCTGAGGTACCCCCCACACCGGGGGCGAGCCAAATGTCCTCAGTCCAAATGGTACTCACACTCCGATCTCTCCATAGGTCTTCGGCTTCTGGGGAGGCTAGTGATTGACAACTTAATAGCCTAAGTTGGACTAGGAAATATGATGGCACTCTACACAATAGAGTCATAATGACAGAATGAACTAGACATTCAACCAGACATGATTAGACGCGTGGCATAAAGTGCAGGATGAAGGGTAAAAAGACAAATCTACCCCTGCTGATATGCGGCTATTCCAAGCAAGTATGTAATGAATCCCCAAATGATGTGATATCTACAGTGGCTTGAGAAGCCGAGGATAAGGGGTATTAAATGTCATAGGCCTTTGCATTTAAAGTCTTTACATTGAAAAAAGAGCATTAACTACTCGGGAGCCCGAACAATTAATACGGGGACATTCCCCACGCAAAAGAGGAGGCACATTGCCCCAGTTCTGAAGGCTACCTACTGCCTAGACTGTCAGTAATGATGAGTCTTTGAAGGTATAAATAATCCTCAAAAACACATTGCAAAGGTACGCAAAATCACCTTTCAAGAGTCATACAGTGTTTTCTTCTTCCTCTCTCTTAAGAAACTGACTTGATCATCGGAGGAGATACGCCAAAAAACACTCCGGCGCCCTTCTAACCTGTTTTCTGTGTTCCAAGAACCCCTTGTGAGCCACCAGCATCGGTTCAATAACCCAAGAACAATTCATCATCACTCTTTAGGCTTCCCTTTGGCCCTTATAACTCATTCTTGGTTGTCGGATCCACCTTTTCGACGAATACGAGTACACTGTGGGAGAGATCTGTCATTTATCTATAGTATGCGAAAACCGGTGTGTACAAATATATAAAATGAAACTCCAAATATTTATATTCGATATTTTTCTTTTTAAATAAGATCTCAATTCCAGCTACTTTTTGGATTTTAACATGTATTTGTGTGTTTTTCATTGCATTTTTTGTTACCCTCATCAATGCAAGTAAAACCATGCATTCCCCATCTCACAATGTCAACTAGGTCACCTAATTACTCATTATTCACCACTTCTTCCTATGAACTTCTGAGAACCATCATTTTTTCTTTTAACTATAATCGGTTCAATTGTATGTTTTTTAGACTCATGATTGTAATTCAAATTCCGGCTACATGCACTAATTGAATTCGGGTCTTATGAGGTAAAAGAGAGTCAAGCAGTTTACGTCTCACCCTTTGTTCGTCTACTAACCACAGTGTGGGTTGAGATGAAAACATTACATGCTGTTAATGTCAAACGTTAATGATTGTTTGTCTAACGTTTGTATAAATTGTCACCATCACAAGGTGTACAATTTATACAAGTTAATGATTGCTTATACAATTTATACGCGTCAATTTACCATCACAAGGTGCACGTTAACGTTTGTTTGTATAAACGTTAACGATTGTTTGTATAAACGTTAATGATTGCTTAATTCCTTTATATATTTTAGTATCTGAGAATATGACAACGGAATAATCTGGTGTGTTTGGGCCTGTTTACCAGTCAAAAAAAAGTGTCGGTTTTGATCTTTACCTTTGCTTTCACAGCCATGCTTTGTAGGGAATGTTGGAGACTTCATAAGTGTGTTTAGGTGTGCAACCTGCGTGGATCCACAATAATGAATACCTTAATTTCGACGTGGATGATCTATCTTTGATCAGATTGAAGAAATGATTAATCATAACTGACCTGGACACCCTTAACTATTGAACTAAAAAAAATAGTGGGATAAAACTTGGACAACAAAATTGCAGCCAAATTTAAATTGAATAGCACTTTTATTGGAGACCTTGAGTTTTGGGACCCCAAATAGTGTAACTGACAAATAAAAGTGAAAACTGTTGAAAAATACAAAGTTGGCACCTAATAGCACAGGTGAACTTTTAAGGCGTGAGGTCTAGCACTGGTGAACTTTTAAGGCGAGAGGTCCAAACTAATTTTTCACTTTTTTTTAATATAACAATATTACTCCTTGTATCTTACACTTTGCTCAATCAAGATTCGTTATCTTTCTTATTAGGTAAATCTAATTGTTCTTCCATAAAAATCCACCATCACCCAACACTTCCCCCGCCAACCGACAATGATATGGTGGAGGTGGTGGAGGTGGGACATGATGGAAGCTTTTAAATAACCTCATTTATTAAGAGTATTTTTGTCTAGGGTGGACCTCTCGCCTTAAAAGTGTATGACTTTGTTCTTGTCGCGGGAGTTTCCAAAATTAAATTGGCAGTAAACCCAATATTTTTACCTTGAAGATTGAATTTGAATTTCCAGAGTTATGTAATTCAAGTTCAAAAATTTAAAGACGGGCAATATCCAAATTGAAAAATTCACACTGAATTTAAGTTAATGTTCTGTTTGGTAGGGAGGATAGAAAGTAGGAAGGATATATTTTCCTTCCTTTGTGTTTGGTTGGATGGATGAAAAATAAAAATGACTATTTTTTTTTTTTGTGCTGGCTAAGATTAGGGATGACAATAGAGTCGAGTCGTGTCGTGTCGTATCAGATTTGTGTTGAGTCATTACGAGTTTGTGTCGAATATTAGTCAAATCTAATTTAACTCATTTAACTAATTGTGTCATGTCGAGTTGTGAATTGACCAATTTATTTTCGTATCGAATTCGAGTCGTGTTATCGTGTTGAGTCGAAAATTTTCACTCTTAGTTAAGATGGAAAAAATATATTTTTTTTAACTTAAAATTTTTATTTTTTTATTTTTTTATTTTCATTATTTTTATTT